TAGAGAATCGCTGGCATCCAGTTTCGGGCGGGGGGGGGAGGATCAGGTTGAAGATGAGGTCAAGGATCTCCACGTGACATCACGGCGAGCCGATGCCAATCAGAGTAGATCATAGAGAGCTTGATAGACCAATGGGGTGACTCAGCAAAAGGCAGCTTTAGGGATTCAACATGCCTTTGTCATGAACACGATCTCAGATATGCTATGAGCAACGCATTGCGAGTTGGGGATGTTACTATTTTTCTTCAGGGTTATCTAGGTCTCTGAGCACTTCAAGCACTTCGAACCCGCTGAAGAGCTATATTGCCTCTCCGTGCTAATAAAACTTCCCCTTCAACTTAAATATGCAGAAGAGTGGAGCGTCCAGGCGTACACGATGTAGAATGACTCACGCACAGGGGCAAATTGAGTCGCAATCCTTACACACCCTTATCTGAGAATCAGTCCCCTTGAAAAGAGACTTGCTTCCCACAAAAAAAACTGGTGAGAGTTGGGTTGCCAGGGCCAGGAAGGATGAGGAACGGATAGACGCAGGCACAAATCATGCCCCAGAGGAAGCCAAAAAAGCGCTGCTGAAAAGGCAGCAGGAAAGGAACCTTCGAGAGATTGTCAAAGGCTTCCATGAGAATGCACTCAACTCTCATTCACACTGCAGAGAAAAAAGAACACGACCGAGCTTTGTACGGACATCGCCTCTAGAAAGTAACCGGTTATCAACTTTACTGCAGGATCCACCCAGAATGTCCAGTTCTGTAAGGGGCTTTGAGATACACAACTTCAAAAGGGGGTGAACAAATTGATGTTCTAACTGGGACCAATCAACGTGCGAGGGTTTAACCCCTTCCCAGCACCGGAAGCCCCAATGCTTCCAACTTGCCATCCTTTAAGCAAGGAATAACATCGCTGCTGCTGTCATTTCCAATCTACAGGCATTTCAAATGGAATCCCCAGATTGGCAAGATTAAAACAAGCTTCTCTTCTAGATTCTCCCCATGGCAGTATTTCGGGTAAATGCAACATCCGCTGTGAAAACGCGAGTTACCTTAACCTCTGCAAACTGGACCAAAGCATCATACCAACGACGCCAAGGTCTGGCCAAGTTACTAGTCCACTTTCTTCTTTTCTTTTTTACTAGCCGACCTGCTCAGACACATGCCTACCTTAGTCCTCGATAACCTAACATTTAAAGAGAACCAACTTTTGCAGAACTGCCCATATTCCTCGGCAGGGGGTGGGAGGCGTGACTCTTAGTCCAGGCAAGAAGCCATTGTCAGCACTGGCCCATTGATCAGTACAGATTTGCCAGTGAAAGCCATACCCTGTTTGCCACCTGGCAGTTTCCAGCAAACCCCTCCAGAGCAAAGAACAAGACGACGAAGAGATTGGATTTATACCCCGCCCTTCACTCCCCAAGGGAGGCTCAGAGCGGCTTACAAACTCCTCTCCCTTCCCCTCCCCACAACAGACACCCTGTGGGGTAGGCGGGGCTGAGAGAGCTCTTTTCCGAGAACTGCCCTTGAGAGAACAGCTCTTATCAGAACTATGGCTTGCCCAAGTTCATCCAGCCAGGTGCAAGTGGAGGAGTGGGGGAATAAACCCGGTTCTCCCAGATTAGAGTCCGCGCACTTAACCACGACACTGAACTTTATTGAACACGGCAAGGACAGAGGTGGTCACTCCAGAATGGGAAATTCTGGGAGATGTGGGGCATGGACGATGGGGGGGGCAGGGTTTGGGGAGCAGAGGGGTCTCTCAGCAGGGTACGGATGCCACGGCGTCCACTCTCCGAAGCAGCCGTTTTCGCCAGGGGAACTGATGTCCGTCAGCGGGAGATCAGCTGAAATTCCAGGAGGCCTCCAGGGTCCACCTGGAGATTGGCAGGCCTATCGCTGGGATACACTGGAGCATAAACTGGAACGAAATTGCATCTGAAGCGCACTTGGCATTTTTCATATGCAGCTGACAACCATCTCCACCAATACGATTAACGCAAATCAGTCATCTGTTTCCATTCGGCGCAATACGTTGTTTTGTAACAATCATCACTCAGTCTGAAAAGACGGCACATTGGCCAAAAGTATCTACGCGCCTTGGACATAACTGCAATGGGGTGTGACACATGGGGGAGGGCAATATCCTCATCCTTTGCCCTCCCCTAAACAATGCCGTTGGCCAACGTAAGGGAATGGGAACGACCGGACGCAAAGAGGGAAGGCCGCAAGTCATTCCATGTACCATCGTCCATGCGCATGGAATTCGCCTTCTGGAGGATATCCGTTCCCCCCACCCCTCCACACACACACACACAAGCCCGTCACAGGAAATATATGTGAGCCATAAATGCAAACAAACACACAGTTTTCTTCCACAGTGGATCTTGCGGATTTTAGTCACAGCGGAGTACTAGGAATGAACTTGGACAGCCAGTTAAATTTGGCGGGCGAACGAGCAAATCGGAAACAGCCGAATTTTCTCCGGTCTCTTTCCCACTCCATCTCAATGCGGCCGGGCCACTTCGCGTCCGCAGTTGTCTCCCTGAAGTCCGACCAATCCCACGCAAAGTTACTCCCTGTCTTTTTTGGGTTTAGACCGCAGTCACTCTGTACAGGATTGCGCTCATCAATCTATGTAATCGTTTACCAGAATGTCAACAGAAAAACTGATAGCAGGGAGGCAGCCCCTGTCGGTCTACCACAGCAGAATAGGTCGAAAAAACCAGTGGCCCCTTCAAGACGAAGGAGACTTATTTCGAAATGAGTCTTCCTGGGTCGGCAGCCAACTTCATCAAACTACACAAAGACTCACTATGAAATAAGTGTTGTTAATCTTTAAGACACCATTAGGTTTATCTATTCGTTTTCTTCACCAGTGGGCCCCAAATGTGGCTTACAGCGGTCTCCCCTCCATTTTATCCTCAAAGCAACCCGGTGAGGTAGGTTAGTCTGAAAGAGGGTGCGCGTCTGACCAGCCAGCTACCACTAACAGAGCGAGAATTCGAACCTGGGTCTTCCAGATCCTCCACCACACTGACACTTGTCTTGCTTAACATCAGCGGAGCCCCTACATCCAGAAAGTTCCCCCAAATCCCGTGCTGGAAAGGATGGCTCCTCTCCAGATGAAATCGTCTCTCTCCCTGTACTTCACTTGGGAGTAGTGGTTAAGAGTGTCAGACCAGTACCTGAGAGAACTAGGTTCGAATCCCCATTTGCGCCACGGAAGCTCACTGGGTGACCTTGGGCCAATCACACACTTTCAGCCTCACCTACCTCACAGGGCTGTTGTGAGAAAAAACACGGAAGACAGCAGAAGGATGGGTCTCCATTGACGAGAACGCAGGGTACAAACGGATTAAATAAATAAGTGCATTCTGGCCCTAACCCAAAATTCAAACACGGCCATCCTAAGCAGAGTTCCCCCCCTTCTCAGACCATTGAAACCAACGCAATTCTGAAAGGCGATTTGGGGCACCCCACTGGCCAAAAAGGAGGGCTGCCGGCTCCAGGGATTTGGGGATGCAGCCAGAGGGGGACAGGGACCTCAGTGGGTTCCGATGCCATAAAGCCCACCCTCCAAAGCACCCGTTTTCTCCAGGGGGAACTGATCTCTGTAATCTGGAGCAGTGTTCCCTCTAAGCTGAGTCAGTGTGAGCCAGCTCACAGTTTTTTAGCTTCCGGCTCACACATTTTTGTTTCAGCTCCGGGAGGATGGAGCTCCAGAGCAAACTGATTGAGGCAGCAGCCAAATATCTCATCCACAGTTTTAATGGCAGCAGCTCTCAAAGTGGAGTTTTTACTCACAAGATTCCATGGCTTAGAGCTGTCATTCCCGGGGGTTCCCAGGTCAAACTTGGAGGCCGGCAGGGCACCCCAAACCAAAAGCCACCCGTCAGGTTTCCCTTTCTCCCCAAAGTGTCTTTGCAGCCAGATGTCAGGCGAAGGGGTTAAAAGCCCAAAACCGCTGCGGGGACCCCCAGCCTCTCTCTCTCCCTCCTCTTGACACAGAGGGGGGGGGGCTTCGCTGCAGGCAGCCAAGAGCTCCTTGCGCCCAAATCGGCTTAACCCCGCTATCCCCCCGGCGCTCCCCTATCGCTTTGTCTCGGAAGATAAGCCATCCGTTTTAAAAAGGGGTTAAAAAAGAAAAGATAGAACGGCAAGCACAGCTCTGAAGACGCAATCGAGGGCAGAAGATTTTTATTTTATTTTTAAAGAGAGAGAGAGAGAGAGCCATCCTCCAAAAGCATCATGGCGGTGCGCTAGGAAAGTTTGCAGAGAGTGAACTTTTGGCAAACTTTTCTTCGCTCGCCCGCTCGCTCGCTGCCCCCACCACCACCAGCCTCCCCTTGCAGGCGAGGATCGCTCGGGCCCTGCTTCCCCCCTGGCAAGCCAAGAAAGGAATCTCTCTCTCTCTCAGATACACACACAGAGAGAGACATTTTTCCAGGCAGAAGAAGAAGAAGAAACTCCCCTCCTTCAGCCCACTGGAGTGCTTTGCACGCAACTGAGGGTCGCTTTCCAGCGGGAGGGGGGGAGAGACACAGAGCCTCCGAAGCGGACACGGGGGGGGGCAATGTCCCCTCTAAGCCGTGGGGTCTTGTGAGCAAAAATTCTACTTTGTGAGCTCCTGGCATTGAAGTTGTGAGTGAGCGATTTGGCTGCTGCATAAATCAGCTTGCTCTGGAGCCCTCCTTCCTGAGCTGAGACAAAAATGTGTGAGCCGGAGGCTAAAAAACGGTGAGCTGGCTCACACCAACTCAGCTTAGAGGGAACACTGTGAGCCACTGGCATAAAAGCTGCGAGCGAGCAATTTGGCTCCTGCATACATTAGTTTGCTCTGAAGCCCTCCTTCCTGAGCGGAGACAGAAAGGTGCGAGCCGGAGGCTGCAAAACGGTGAGCTGGCTCACACCGACTCAGCTTAGAGGGAACACTGGTGGGGAGGGGGCGCTGTCCACTGCCAAGTGCAAACCCCCCCGGGCATGCATTCATCCCCCCCCCCGCCTCACCTCGTTCCTCTGGAGCTGGAAGAAGCTGTTGAGATAGCTGGAGTTGAGGGAGGAGCCGAGCTCGGCCGGCGCGCTCTTGCCCGGCGGGTAGGCGAGCTCCGGGTGCGGGGCGGCGGGCGGCTCCGGGCGGAAGGCGTCGAAGGCGCTGGCCTGCTGGTGGGTGTCTTGCAGGGACAGGTAGACCCAGTTGAGGAGCTGGGCGGGCTGGTAGACCGAGGCGGCGGCGCTGGTGTCGATGGCGGACAGCAGGCTCATCCTGGAGGCGCCCCCCCGCTTGCCCG